GCTGCCCGGCCAGCCGGGCCCTTGTGCCTCACTGCGGCAGTGCTGGGCCCTGGCCCCGTGCCCCCCACTGAGCTCGCTGGGGCTCCAGTCATGTAAGAACATGAGAACGGCCGGGTGGGGTCAGAACAAAGGTCCATCCAGTGCAGGGTCCTGTCTGCCCACATGCCTCACTGCGGCAGTGCTGGGCCCTGGCCCCGTGCCCCCCACTGAGCTCGCTGGGGCTCCAGTCATGTAAGAACATGAGAACGGCCGGGTGGGGTCAGAACAAAGGTCCATCCAGTGCAGGGTCCTGTCTGCCCACAGTGGCCAATGCCAGGTGCCCGGAGGGAGGGAAGAGAAGAGGCTGCGTTAGGAGGGGCATTGCCAGCAGATCCAGAGAAGTGATTATTCCTCTTTATTCGGCTCTGGTGAGGCTGCATCTGGAGTATTGTGTCCAGTTCTGGGCCCCCCACTATAGAAGGGACGTGGATGCATTGGAGAGGGTCCAGCGAAGGGAACCAAAATGATGAGGGGGCTGGAGCACATGACCTACGAGGAGCAGCTGAGGGATTTGGGTTTGTTCAGTCTGCAGAAGAGCAGAGCGAGGGGGGATTTGAGAGCAGCCTGCAGCTCCCTGCAGGCAGAAGAGCAGAGCGAGGGGGGATTTGGGAGCAGCCTGCAGCTCCCTGCAGGGGGGTTCCAAAGAGGCTGGCGAGAGGCTGTTCTCAGTGGGAGCAGGTGGCAGAACAAGGAGCAATGGGCTCAAGTTGCAGTGGGGGGGGGCTAGGTTGGATATTAGGAAAAACTATTTCTCTGGGGGGGTGGGGAAGCGCTGGGCTGGGTTCCTGGGGGAAATCTCCGTCCCTAGAGGTGCTTAAGTCCTTGCTTGACACAACCCTGGCTGGGCTGACTGAGTTGGGTTGGTCCTGCCTTGGGCAGGGGGCTGGACTCCATGGCTCCTGAGGTCTCTCCCAGCCCTATGATTCTATGAATCACCATGTGATCCCTCCCCTGTTCCCAGCCTCAGACAGAGACGCCCTCCCTGGTTAACAATTGTTGATGAACCTGTCCTCGGGGAATATATCTAACTCTTTATTGAAAAGTGTTTCTGGCAGCGGTGGGATTCAAACCCATGACCCTAAGGAGGCTGAAGCTTAAAGCCAGGCTGCTTGGCCACGCTGCCACAGCGGCCCCTGTAGGCTGCAGAGCGGTGTCAGGTGTTGAGGATGGGGGCTTGCTGCAGGAGGGCCGCACTGAGCCCAGGACAGCGTCTCCTCCCTGGCGAGCTGACTGGGGGTCGTGCTCTCACGGGGGAGCGAGGAAGCTGCTCTCTGCTCCCTCAGGCTGGCTGCCTCTC